CAAACAAACCATTTTGACAGACTATAACAGAAAAAAAAATGGTTAATTTGGAAAATAAAAATGTATGAAACTTTTTTGGTTCGATTGAAAAAGCAAACACTATTAGTTACACACCATAACTCCATAAAAAATAATATTTTTTATTTTATTTTATTTTATTTTATTTTTTTTGCAATTTGCAGAAAAAAAAGTATGTATCAAATCAAAAGATGTAGCATCTGTAACGTGACACTTGCTAGCTTTATAACTAAGTAAATAAGTAACATAGTATTTAAATTATCAAATACAAGAAGATAGAGTGCAAAAATTTATAAGAGTATAAGTACCTAGTAGCTTTTGAGGATGAGTGTCACAAACATCTTGTCCCTCAATGGTTGGAATAAACTCATTAATAAAATGGTGAGGGAGAAAACCTTGTATATCAATTTTGGCAAGTATTGCCAAATAATTTCAGGATCCAAAAGGTCACATTTCACCCCATAGAGGAACCCAGGCCATTCTTGATTAACCTATTAACAAAAAAAACATTCAATCTTTCTAAATCTTGAAAAGATGCTAAAAGTTTTGTTGATTATTGAATGGAATCAGAGGAACATTTGAAGACAGAAGATACCTTTTACAAGGGCAATATACATATACATATAGAAAACCAAAACTGAACGGGTACCATAGCTGAAATTTAATGGTGTTGTCTGATAAGAAAGTAGTTAACCTCTTCTTCCTTCAATCTTTATTTTCACAGGTCACATGGAAGGAGACAGAGTAAAAATCACATTTACATGGCATCCATGGCTGAAACTTGATATTGAAATTAGTTTTAAAAAAATCAAAAAATGAAAGTTGAAGGTTAGGAATACTAGTTTTAACTGTTAACCTTTTCTTATAAATTTAGTATAGAAATGAAGGCAAATGAAAATGAGAACAACAAAATTCAGAAAACCCAAAATTTGAAAATTATCTCACCCAACAATTCTGGTTCTGAATAGTTCGTTTTTCATTTACTTCAACACCCTCAAGCCTCATACGTGAAGACAAAAAGAGAAGACTAAAAACCAGTTCATTTGTGTAAAACTGTAAATTCAAATTGATCCTTTACTTACAATGTAAATTGGTCTCGATAATGGTATATGAAGTGTAGTGTAAGAGTCAATAACCTTATCAAATTATTCAACTATATACTCTCTTTCTTCCTTCATAAATCCTTTGGTTGATTTTATCGGGAAATACGTAAATTTTTTAAGAAACCGTAAGTAAAGTGCGTAATTCATTGTCACACCCCCGAAATGAAACGGTAGAAACGTCCGGAGGCAGATGACATCATTGTGTAGTATCATAACAGTTGAATATAATTGAAACATAGCAACCCAAATAGCATACATTGAGAATACAAGTTTACATACCGTGTTTGTTCAAAAGTTACACAACAATGACTAAAAAGATTTGAATACCTGTTACTGGTTCCCTGATAATACAAGTGATTTTGAAAAGCGTCAACAATAATGTTGGTGATTTCTTAAGCATTTTTGTATGAAAAGGGTTTGTAACTGCTTTGTTTAAAATAGTTTTATATACTTCCACAAAATTTGATATTTTCTATAAAATAGGTTGTTAGTCTAATAACCAAGACCAAAATGTATAAATGTCTTTTGTATCTTTATCCTTGTGAAATGAATAAGTATGTATGTTTCCAGAAAATCTAATATTTTATTGCGTATGAATTGTAGTCTTAAACCATAAGACGAGAAATGTAAGCAATAGTGTACTGAAAGGTAGTATGTAGTTATATATTTTTATAAAAGTAATGAGGTGTGAGCTTCTCGTAAACCAAGATAGTATTGTTAATCCCTATGTGAGTTATTATAACCATGCTTAATATGACTGTTATGCCTATACGACGCTCTTCAGGCGTCATAATTAGTAGATATTTGTCACCCTAGACTTGTCGGTCTAATTGTAGCAAACAACTGAGGTGTGGGGTTGTCAATCTCGTATAAATCTATACATAACGATCTCGTTCTCCCTCTATGAGACCCTGGTTATAATGCAGGACTTAAAGTGTACACTAGGTAGCTACGGTGAAGAGATGAGAGTTTTTGAACCTAGCTTTTTGTATGAACTTGAAGAGCTTCTTGGAGGAGGAACTTTCCTAAGAATTTTATACACGAATATATGTGTAAAGATGGTGAAATTTACACAAAAATGTGTCAAACTACTAGAGAATGTCGAATATGCTTACCAAACACTCTTGAATCGGCTTGGTGGTGTCGAACTTGGAGAAGCTTGAACTAGTTTTAGAGAGAAAAAGATTTTGAGGTAGGAAAGAAATGGAAAGAGTGGAGAGTCTCCACTCTCGGCCAAGAGTTTAAATGGAAAAGGGGAAGCATTGCTTTATTGTTACATATTGGTCCATTTAGTGTCATGCAGGAAGGCATGATGTGCAAAGGTATGTATGGTATGGATGTTTGATGGTTAAAGAGGTGTAAAAGGAGGATGCCAATCTTGCAAGTCAATACTTTGGAGGCTACACCCAACCAAAAACTAGGGGGTTATCGGTTTAGGGTGACAGAAAACTCGGTTCTAGTATTTCCATTAGAATGGTTTTCAGTCAAGGGGTTTTCTTGGCCGAAAATCTTAAAGCAAGGTCCATTTTTTATTTATGTATTACGTATTTGATTTATTTTGGTCTTCTAAATGTTTTTTTTACAAATATGCATACATATATGTACTCAAATAACAATGTCATTTTTGATTTACAAGAATCAATTGCAAGAAGGTTACATTATGTATTCATTTGTTCATGGTTACAATCTAGATTTTACCTGACCCTAAATTTACTAGTTGTCACATTCACCATATGGAAAACCCTGGAGAAATCGCAAAACAGATTCAAATGAAATGATTTGATTCTATGGTGACTAGAAGGGACGACAAAAGAAATCAACATTTAAGGAGTGGGAAAGGAAAGAAACCAGTGGAGCAAGTCTAGGGCTTTCTGTTCTCCCGACAGTAGATTGAAGACTCTCGAACTTAAACCTTCTTATAAAACCTCTAGTCGTGGCGTCAAATAACTACCGAAAATAACAATAAATTGAGATGGGAGTGAAAAGGAACGGAAAGAAAAAGACGAACGCGGAGAAAACAAATTAGGGTAACAGAATCCTCAAACCTGATTGAGGTGAAATTAAACCACTAATGTCTCAATCCATCCTTTTATTTCAATGGTGTGAAATCATGAGAAAAACACACTATTGGAGAAAGTGGAAAACGAGAGGCAACTTTGGTGAACCGATTTCGAAAAGCAGAAAGACAATAAAGGCTTTATACATGTTTTAATTGAAGAAGAGCAACTGTCGATGTTTGATTGGAAGAGCGAAGCGGTGGAGGACTCGTTTGAAGCAATATAGCTTTATCAGAAGAGGGGAGCCACCAAAGACAAAAGTTGTTAAATCATAAAAAATTCGATTAAAAGTGACAAATATTAGAAATTTATGTGGCAAAAACATCAAAGACTAAAGTTGTTAAAACGTTTTTTTTTTTATTTTTTAAAATTTATTTATTTATTTATTAGAATTCACATGTGATTGTAAGAGGATGGGTGTGAGTACTACCTAAGTCTTAGGTTACTTAGTTAACTTTCTTTTTCATATCTATTATTATACATTGTCAAGATTATAAGTTATATATCTTTAGGATTTGATTATAGGTTCTGAGACCTAAAAGTTTGGTATTGATAACGAATGAATTTGGTGTAATCAGTGAGAGAAGAAGTATAAGGAGGGCGTTGGAATGTTTCTTTTATTTATTTATTAATTTGGTATAATATGGGGTTAATTTGTTTTTGAATTAATTAGCTTAACGTCTTGAGGGTCTTGTGGTAATCCATATATATGATTTATGATTGTTTGTTCATGACTTAAATAGATATTAGTAAAACTTTAGAGGTATGTTTTCTCCAATAAAGCTCTTATATTTTCTCAAAATATGTTACTATATATTCTATGTTTTTAACACTGTTATTGAAAAATATATGAAATAGTTGGAACATCTAGATAGTCCTCAATGCTATTCTTTTTCAAGCTAAAGATATAGAACAATAGTCTCGCAGAAATAGTGAACCGAAACATGCTTGCACTTTAAATATAAAATGTATGTTATGGAATTCCCTTTTTCCCGATTATATGTAATAATATTATAGAATATAGATATAGATGTCGTTGGGTAAAATTTTAATGTTGAATTACTTCTCATGGCATAGAATTGGTCATCCGAAGAAGTTGACCAAAAATGGTGTTCTCACAGAGTATTGTCCTGAAACCCAAGTCATATATCCTTGACCATATCGACTTTTAAACTTATCCGCGATGTCCCGAGTAAATGTTATTTTGTATGTTAACTTCTGGAACATCGCTATGAATTTGAGCCGTTGACAAGGAGTATCAACCACTGTATATACACGTACACCTTGAGGAACAGAAACATTTCCAATGGTGTAGATTGAGTTCGGCATACCTACATTAGTCACCGTCCTTGAGAACGTTTTGGTATCACCTCTTTTTAAAGTAACCACAAAAGAAGGATAGTTTAGCTCCGTTTCTGTCATATTTTTTATGCAAGAAAAGGGTTTCTTAACAATCATTGATATCTGTTTGGTTGTATACCCTAACCCACACAAATACGGAATGTAATCATCAGGTTGGATGTCAAAAACAAGACCCGGATCATTGGCTTTTGATGGGTTGACATGACCCGCACCAATAGCAAACATGTCCGCAGGAAGATCTGTTTCATGATCTACAATGGGTTCTCCATATAAGCTTACTTGACTTGCTGTCGTCATCATAGCTGACTTGATTGCAGCGGGAGACCATTCTGGGTGTCTGCTTTTCAACAGCGCTGCTACTCCTGCAAGGTGAGGACAAGCCATTGACGTACCAGACATGATCTTAAATGTTGGTAGTTTGATCATCATTGGCGTTAACAATGGCCAAGCTGCAAGAATGTCAACTCCGGGTCCGATGATGTCTGGTTTCAGGATTCCAGGGCTTGCGAGATTGGGGGCCTCTTGAAGAGAAACAAGCCACCTCTGGAGCTGATTTTACACCGAGTATAGTTCCATGTTGAAGGATAGTTGCTACAGGAGATGAAGTCGAATTCAGATACTTTATGATCTCAAGTCCTTCCGTATAACCCACATTTGATGCAGGAAGAACGTGAGCCTCTGGTACTGTAGTCTCCGGACAAGCATTTCCGTTCCGAAGAACCATGGCAGCTCCTCCGGCATCCTTCACTACCCTACCCTTGTCAACTGTCCAAATCGCACCACCCATATCACACAACACTACCTTCCCCGTTAACATCAATATTATCTAGCGATCCTCTGCTACACGTTGCTGCTTTGTAATCACCATTTCCACCAGGGTAAACAAGAGGCATGAGCTTTTGATGGAAGCTCTTTGGTTGGTATAACGATTCACCATGAAGTAATTTCTTGTTTCCGAGATAAACTGTCGTCCTTATTCTTCTATCAATGGTGCTAGCTCCAACTGTAAGGACCCATGGGGCTGTGTTTGACAGTGTTCCCTTAAAAGGCCCGGAATTACCTGCCGAACAGCTCACGAAGATGCCTTTTTGTATTGCTTTGAAGGCGCTAATTGCCATAGAATCTCGATAGAAGGGTACAGAAGATCCACCAAATGATATCGAAAGCACATCAACACCATCTCCTATAGCTGCATCCATCCCTGCTATACTGTCGCTTTCAGAACAATATTCCCGATTGCATACTTTATACATAGCCAAGTGTGCCAGTGGCGCCATCCCAGCGGCTGTGCCATTAAAATTTCCAAATATATTTGCATTATCTACGAAATTCCCTGCCGCAGTACTTGAAGTGTGAGTCCCATGGCCTAGTGAATCTAACGGAGAACTTGTACTGCTAACAAAGTTTCGCATTCCGATCAGTTTGTTATTACAATATTGTTTAACTCCGACTTCACATCTTCCTTTCCATCTTTCCGGTGGAGTGGGAACACCAAAATCATGGAATGATGGATGTTGAGGAGTGGTTCCGGTGTCTAGAACCCCGATTATGATTCCTTTCCCGTGGTTGGAATCTTTCCACAAACCTGAATTGTGGGTTAATCCCAAAAACTGCGTTGAATGAGTTGTATGCAACCGGAAGTGTCTTTCGGGACTTACAGATACAACTCCTCTCATATTCTGGATTGCATTTGCTTGCTGTGTTGACATTTGTGCAGCAAATCCTGTAACAGCATGGTGGTATGCATGAATGATCCTAATTGGTTTCCATGATTTTGAGGTGGTGTTATAATTACCGATTTTTGACAAAAATAAGTTATAACGTTGTTCAAGGTCGTGTGGTCGATGATCTAGAGAGAGTTGTTGGCCTTGAGGTGAAGTTAATTGAACAATGTAGGTTTTGGTTTTGAATTGATAGGCTTTGCATGTAGGAAAGGCAGTGAAAATGGTAAGTAAAATAAAACTCATAATTGTTGGCAACATTTCTCACTATCGTACGTACGTTCGTACATACATACATAATATATATCATTGAAGGAGTAAAAGTTTGCCTTCCACCTCAAGATTCAAGAGGTACCCGGGGCAAAATTACACATTTGCGCGACATGAAGTGGTTTACTGATCATTGTTACAACTTCCCTCTATCCAGACGAATAAGATAGAGACGTTTCAAGTTTCAACTCCATCCTCCAGATTACCTATATACATATAACTTGCTTTTCAGACTTGGAAATTAAGTATTTCATAAAAAAAAAAATTGGCCTTTATATACATATATCAATTTTGATTTCTTTTTTAATGCGTCTCTCCACTTTTTATAAATTTGTAATTATTTAGTTTGCAAATAGATCTTCATCCATTTCTAAGCCATTTTCTATAGTATTTGGTTATATATAATTTATAATATTTCACTCTACTAGTAGTAATGGTACACATCATTAATTGTTGCTCAATGAATTATGATAATGTTAAACGAGAAAAATGTCACTTTTTGCCCATCTCTAAATCGTTTTTTGCTATTACAGTTCACATGTGATTGTGAGAGGATTGGGTTGAGTACTACCTAAGTCTTACGTTTCTTAGTTAACTATCTTTTTCAGATCACTTATTATCCTTGTTAAGATTTACAAACTATATATCTTTAGAATTTGTTTGCAGTTTCGAGGTCTAAAAGTTTGGTATTGATAATGAATATTGAATTTCACATAATAAGTGAGAAGAATGGATCTTCATCCATTTTAGTTTTTTAGTCTTTTATAATTATTTCACTATATGTGACATTCCTTATTTTTCATAACAAAAAAAAAAACTTTTCTTTACATTTACAAAATCACAATACCTTTGTTCGTGAAAAACTCCAGTATAATGAAACGTTTTGTGGAAACTGTCTTGTTTTATTTAAAATATCTTTAGTAAAGATGTTTCAAAATACAGAATCGTAAGGATGTCATACACAATACATAATATATGTTAAAATGTAAATACATAATGGTCATGAACACTATTGCAGGTTGTCTTTCAAACACTCAGTACCTTAATCAAGTCCAACAGTTTTAGCCCTCTTACCTGTAATGTATATAATTTGATTGGGTTTGGGAAACCTGATGAAACACATACGGTTTTCAATCTCACAATATTATTATGATAACCATCAATAACTATTAAACTTGCAAAACCAATTATTACCACACAATATAGAGATATATAATCCAACCAAGATATATATAAGCTACTATAACCATACATACCCATCCCAATCGGATCTCACAAATCCTAGTCCATGATCATCTAGAAGAAACACATTACCCGATGAGTCATTTAGAACAATGGTTGACTACACAGCTAGGGGAGTCCTTAGCCAGTGTAAGTTATAAAGGCACCCGAGCATTGAGAGTATTTGATAAATATGGTATCACATTTCATCTACATAACAACAATCGAACTAATAATTCTTCTCCTACCTTCTTGTGATGCAACTCTCCTAGATCTCGACGTCGAATCCGAAGTCCATTTACCTTTCACACTTTTTCCTTAAGGGTTGGTTCTCTCTACTCGGGTCCGAACCGTTATTTGTTGCCACTTACAACTGATCAAAGCCCAAGATGGCTCTACATATGTTATTCTTAGAACTTTTTCTTCTTGGAAGAAACTCTTGGTTGTCATATGAACGAGTTTAGCATCCCCAACACAATATCACTACTTATACCTTCAACAAGTGATCTTCTCACATAACATGGCCACAATCCGATCAAGATCCTGACAAGTACGGAGTTATCTACCAATGTAAATGTAAATAAAATGGTATTATAGGGTTTTACTAATGTAAATGGAAATTTACTATTATCAATGATGATTTCTAAATTCGGTACCATTCCTCCCTGTTCAATAGGATGACTAAAATTGTCGCGTTCTAACTAATCCTCTGGTAATGATCCTTCCAATCATCTTTAAAGTATTTGGGTGAAAACGCACAACGAAAATTAATAGGTTTAAACCTATATGTTGCTGGTGGTACTTGAACCTGCACTTGTTCTTTCGTCCACCAATGGAACTTCAGTCCTAACTCTTGAGTCACAAACTTGACTTTTATCGAAGACACCCGCTTCTTTCTAAATTGGGTCGTAAAATCAACCCACGATAATGTCTTTATTTCAGCTACAGTAATAGGCCGAATGGTCACACTCTAATGACCTTCCATTGCATAATGTAGTGGATACATAAGGAACTATACTCTTTCCTCGATCAGACAGACCTTAACATGACATACATCTTCCATCTTGTGTTAACAACCTGGTATTTCCTCCATTGAACATGGGAGTTCGAAATACAACCACATCATAATAAGTAGCAACTTTGTCTACTAGTTTCTTAGTTTTAACAAATGTTGCGATTCTTTTGTCGATCGATGTGATTATCTCCTTCTTCAATCTCCCAACTAAAGTAAATCAATACACAAGACATGGTTCTCTAAACTAATTTACTCACTTCGCAAATTCAAATTAATCAGACTCGATCCTTCATGACCACTTGGCCCTGAACCAAAACCACTTTCTTATTCATCACCATAACGGTGGTAATAATGGAAACAAACAAACAAACTCAACTACTAGTGCCTTAGTAACTTTGCATGTCTTCCTAATCCAAGTGTGAATTTTGTGCTTTGGGTTGTAGAAGCCTATACCACCTTTTACACATACTCATACTCGTCCTAAGAATTGTCTCGTAGTTCCCAAGTCACTACGCATGATAAGCACAAAACAATTTAACATATAAGTTCGTGTCCAAATGGTCACTTACAATAATTTCCCAACACTCGATTAGGATTTCCATGTCTTTTCTAGGCGCTTTAATAATAACCACGTGCTTTACTGAAAACTTATTAAAGTTTCCTAGACTTCTCCTCTAAGATTCTTCTCATGCATATGCTTGATTTAGCATACTCTAACATTTTTCCTAGGTCTTTAGGAATTTCCACTTCTGAACTCTTCATATAGATTCCTTCCAGTATAGTGCATAGTCTATAGGGCACACTATATATGAGTGTACTATGGTGGTACGAAGACAAACACTCTTTAATTAGCTGTACCACCTTTTGACACATGAAAATCATGATGCATATCATTCTATCTATTCACTTGATCATCTTTTACTTTATAGGATCCAATACTAAATGTCTGTCTCTTATTTCTATATCTGTCATGTCTACTTTGTAAGTGTTAATCCTAGGAAGTCTGCATCGTAGTGGCATCTCAACGTGCCTCACTACCTTCCACTTAGTTATTTTTCATCTCTTGACATTAATATTTCTCCTCGTGTAATACCATAGATTTATTGCCTCTTTGTCTAATTATTCTATCTTACTAAAGAAGTTGTAACGTCCATAAAATTCATAAACATTTTAAACTTTTCAAACATCCAAAAAAACCATTTATTATAAATTGTTTTCAAAAAAGTTTGTCATCAGAGTAATTCCCAGAAGTCATAACACAAAATATGAGGAAGTTCACGATCAAGCCTTCGCCTTCGCACGATCATCAGAAGTACCTGAAACCATAATCCAAAACTGTAAGCTCGAAGCTTAGTGAGTTCCCCCAAAATACCACCACATAATCATGACTGGACCACTCCCAAGCCTTCAGCATGACTGGACCGCCTCGTAGGGCCTACAGTCTATCCGGACCACTCGTCAGGCCTTCAGTCTGACTGGATCGCCTCACAGGCTTCAGTCTAACCGGACCGCCCTAGGTCTGTTGGCTTACAGCACAAAGCAGGACCTCCTCAACCCAACCACATACATACATACATACATACATACATACATACATACATACATACATACATACATACATACATACATGTCGACATATAAACAACAATTAAACACATAACCAGTCTACAGACAGTCAACCGATCTACAGATCACTAGCATAGAAACATCCTATCTACCAAGATACTGATCTAACAGATCATAACCACATAGAAACATCCTATCTACCAGGATACCGATCTAACATATCACAACAATAACAAAGCAGGATAACAATCCAAAGGGTCGGGCATGGTGCCTTCGACCCCTGAGTATAGTGAGGAAAACTCACCTCACAAGCAGTGATGTCTTACAAATACAACTCTCAATCATAGCTTCGAACTCAACTGCCTACAACCACCAAGAGACTAATTCCATAAGAATCCCGAAATGCCCAAAATGCCCCTTAAAGTCAAACTTGGTCTACCATGGTCAAAGTCAAAGTCAACAGTCCATGTTGACCCAACTCTTCAAGTGCATCTAGGAACTCGTCGAGTTCCTTCAGTGTTAAGAAAATTGGGAAGAACCACAGCCAACTCGTCGAGTTATTTTATCAACTCGCCGAGTTCGCACAATATCCAGAACACTGGAAAACTCAATCCAACTCGTTAAGTTAGCAGAGCAACTTGTTGAGTTTTCCTAGCCTTAATGAATTCAGACACTTCTAAGCAAAAACCAAAGCCCCAAACTATATATGTGGTCATTTAGGACTGAAATACCACGTAAATCTGCTAGCTTTACGTTAATGCATGGCATCAAGAGGGATAAAACACTCAAATAAAGCTTATCAAGTAACCTAGGGCATGAAGGAGGACCAAGACTTGATAAAGTTGGCAACTTTAAGTCCATGTAGTCCATGAGATGTCCAGATCTAAAACCATGGCTCTATAACATGCTGTAATCCAAGAATAGTCCCACAATAAGCTAATAATGGTCATAACTCTCAAAAGAAGAGATCTAACAAAAGGATGGTCAAGGTATCAACTTTATACCTCCAAATGGCTGCAACAACACTAGAAATCTTGGATCTAAAGCTTCTCTCTTCAGGTATGTAGCACCAACTTCAACTCCTTTAAGAAAAAACACCAAAGAACGCCCTATAAACTCTTACACACTCAAAATGGGGGAAGGAGGCTCGATTAGGGTTTTTATCTGGACAAGGAGGCGATGAGGAAAG